TTTGAGTTATGGTGTTGGAGTAGAATATTGAAAGTACTATGGGCTGCCAAAAGAACAAACAGATCTGTATTAGAAGAAGTGCAGCCAGAGTGCTCCTTGGAAGCCAGGATGGCCAGAGCTCATCTCTCATACTTTTGACATATTATCAAGAGGACCAGTCGCTGGAGAAGGATATCATGTTTGGTAAAGTAGAGGCTTAGAGAAAAAGAGGAAGACCCCCCAATAAGATGGATTGGCACAGTGGTGGTAGCAATGAGCTCAGGAGTAGCAATGATTGTGAGGTTGGCCCAGGACCAGGCAGTGTTTCATTGTATTGTGCATAGAGTAGCTATGAGTTGGTACCAACTCGATGGCACCTAGTAACAAATATCCATTTTAGGTTAATTTTACAATGTACTTTGTGTTAGTGTATCATCAATAGGCAATATGGTTTGTTGAAACATTTTGTATAATATGCATTTATGCCTACTTGATAAGGTTTACAGGAATTGTTTTACAATTTTAAAGAATTAAGATGTTTGTTTTGCACCTCTAGTGTAATTTTTATTCAGCCCATACATAAATTAGTTCATGCTGTTATAGCTGTGTGTGGTGCTGCGGGTTAATATGCTGGACTGCAAGGTTGGTTTGAACTGGAAGGTCTACGGTTAAAGCTCACTAGATGCTCCTTTGAAACCCTATACATGGTCGCTATCAGTTGGGACCAACTCCATGGCACTTAAAAAGAACAGCAACAATTGTTTCTTAGGAAGGCAGTCTCCAATATGATACTTTTCTTATGGGGGAAATGTAATCTGCATAGTACTAGTTTCTAGCAGGGTATAATAATTACCCAAACAATTTTTTTTTTGCATCAGTTTTCTAGATCAGTGGTAATGATTTTTTTCTATTTTTGCTTTACTATGTTCAAAAAAAGGTACCTTAAGTCAAGTGAATCAAATCCATATAGTGAAAATCAAATATTGTATTTTCATAATCCTCTATTATACTGCCTCCTCTTTAAGCTCACTTGCCCAGAGAAGGCAAATTGGTGTCTACATTTCCTTGTCTAGGTTGGGACCAGGAGAGAGGTCACTGAATTTGAATGAGCCTGTGATCAAGGTAGAGAATATTAAACTATTAATAGTTTTGTTTTGTTTTAAATTTTCTGGTAAGGTTGAAATTTTAGGTTGTAGAAATTTGTGGCCAGTAAAAGTATATATATATATACTAGAACTGGTAAGGTAAATGTCAATTGTTCAGACAAAACAGTTTTCCAAGGCACACAGATAAGTATACAAAAGATTATATCCTACCCTTTGAAAAAAGCCGGCACTCCTTCCTTGGTTAACATGGTCATTGCACAGTTGGGTACACTTGAGTAGTATCCTTGTGGAGAATTTATAAATCTGGTTTTTACCACATCTGCTGGAGAGGACAGAACCGTTGCGCAAAATCCAGCAATAAGAGCAGACACCAAGTGGCAAAGCATGTCGTCTAAAATGGGTCAATGAAACAGCAACATATGGTGAGAGAGCTTGTACATGTTGAGTTATTTGTCAGATCCTCAAAACCAGTTCATTCATAATGGAGGTCATTATAGATAACTCATAAATAAAATATAATAAAGGTTGTGTTTGCATTTGAAAAAGGTGGCAAATGGGACATGATTTAGAGGATTTCTTACAGAAAATGCCTGTCCAGTTTCTCTGTGACATCAGTGCCTAGAACAATGATGATTAATATTAAACCCCAAATCCATTACTCTGTAGGACAGAGTTGTATTCTTTCACCATCCTTATTTAATCTGTGTGCTGAACAAATAATCCAAGAAGCTGGATTATATGAAGAGGAACATGGCATCCGGATTGGAGGAAGACTCATTAACAACTTGAGATATGCAGATGATACAAACTTGCTTGCTGGAAACAAAGAGGACTTAAAATATTGATGGCAATCAAAGGCTACACTCTTTATTATGGGTTTCACCTTAATGAAAGAAAACAAAAAATTTCAACTGCACCAATAAATAATATCATGATAAATGGAAAAAAGATTGAAGTTGTCAAAGACTTCATTTTGCTAGGCTCTATGTTAATACACATGGAAGAAACAGGCAAGAAATTAAATGATGTATTGCACTAGGTAAATCTGCATAAGACCTCTTTAAAGTGTTGAAGAGCAAAATTGTCAGTTTGAAGACTAAGGTGCGCCTGATCCAAGTCATGGTATTTTCCATAACTTCACATGCATGTGAAATATAGACATGAAAAGGAAAACTAGAAGAATTGATGTGTTTGAGTCATGGGGGGAGAAGAGTATTAAAAGTACCATGGACTGCCAGGAGGACAAATAAATCTGTTTATGTTGGAAGTAGTGCAGCCAGAGTGCAATTTAGAAACCAGCATGACGATACTCTGTCTTTCATATTTTGGAAACATTATCAGAAAGGACCAGTCCCTGGAAAAGGACACCATGTTTGGTAAAGTGGAGGGTCAGTGAAAAAGAGGAAGACCCTCAGTAAAATGGATTAGCAGCAATGGGCTGAACTATAACCGTAATAGTGAGGAAGGCACAGGACCAGGCAGTGTTTTGTTCTGTTGTGTGTAGGGTTGCTCTGAATTGGAATTGAATTGATAGTACTGCATAAACTTGCTATGAGTCAGTACCAACTTGATGGCACCTAACAACAACAACAACAGCATAGGGCTGGCTAGTATTACCTCCATGGTGTTTCCAGGGCTCTAAATCCTTGTAGATGAAATCTGCCATGACTTTCTCCCTTGTCTGTTGGGCTTGAACTGATGACCATTCAGTTAGCTAATGAGTGCTTAACCACTGTGCCATCAGGGCTCCTTTGATATAAATTAGGTACCTAGTTCTGACATAGCACTGTAGGATAAGCACTGGACTGCTAACTGCAAGGTCAGAAGTTGAAACCCACCAGCCATACCTTGGAAACCCTATGAAATCTGGTAGGTGCCATTGAGTCAGTTCAGATTCATAGTGACCTTATGCACAACAGAATGAAACACTGTCCGGTCCTATGCCAACCTCACAATTATTGTTACTCTTGAATTCACTGCAGCTGCCATTGTACAAATCCATCTCATTGGGGATCCTCCTCTTTTTCACTGACCCTCCACTTTACCAAACCTGATGTCCTTTTTCAGGAACTGGTCCCTCCTGATAATATGTCTGAGGTATCAGAGATGAAGTCTCACCATCCCAGCTTCTAAGTAGCATTCTGACTGTATTTCCAACACAGATTTGTTTGTTCTTCTGGCAGTCCATGGTATTTTAATATTCTCCAAAACCATAATTCAAATGCATCAATTCTTCTGTGATCTTTCTAATTCATTATCCAACTTTACATGCATGTGAAGCTATAGAAAATACCATGACTTGAGTCAAGCACGACTTGTCTTCAATCGGACATCTTTGTTCTTGAGCGCTTTAAAGTGGTCTTGCACAGCAGAATTGTCTGATGCAGTACTTCATTTGATTTCACGACTCCCGTTGATGGTGGGTCCAAGCAAAATTAAGTCTTTGGCAACTTCAATCTTTTCTCCATTTATCATGATGTTTTTATTGGTCCAACAGTGAGGATTTTTGTTTTCTTTACATTGAGGTGCAACCCATACTGAAGTCTGTGGTCTTTGATCTTCATCAGTATTTTAAATTTTACCTTTCAGCAAGCAAGGTTGTATAATCTGCATATCGCAGGTTGTTAATTGGTCTTCCTCCAATCCTGATGCCATGTTCTTCATATAAACCATCTTCTCGGATTATTTGCTCATCATACAGATTGAATAAATATAGTGAAAAGTAAACCCTCGAGCATGTCTTTCCTGATTTTAAACATTCAGTGTCTCCTAGGCCTGTTCGAATGGCTGCCTCTTGGTCTATGTACAATTAAGTTTTCCAGAATACTCATTCTCAGCATTGTTGTTCATTGCTTGTCATGATCCACACAGTCTTGTCTGCATAGTCAATAAAGCACCGGTAAACCCTATTCAAGGTCAATATGAGGCAGAATTGGCTCAGTGACACTTAACAACATCAGTACATCACTACGGATCCAATGTCATTGTCTAAAGAGAATTTCCATTTCTCAAGAAACTATTACAATACTATTTTTAGGAACCTAGTACTGTGGCTGTGTAGGATAAGAACTGGATTGCAGAACCACAAAGTTTATAGATCAAACCCATCAACCACTCAGATTTGCAGCCTCGGAAACCCTATACAGGATCATATGAGTTGGAAGTGACTTGATGGCATTTAACAACAACATCCTATGGTACTACTACTTTGGGGATAAAACCACTGATGAACTCTTACTTAACTAACTCTTCTATGCAGTGCATGATGGACTCACCTACTGAATTCTGTATAAAGAGTAAAATTTTAACAAAAGTCTCATATATTGGTAGAAAATGAGGACAATGCTAGCAGAGAATACTTAGGGTTTTGCTCTTTTTCTGCTTCTAAAAAAAAAAAAAAAAATCATATCCAGTGTTCAAATTTTTGTAAAAGAGATACCTAGTGGAGTGGAAAGATTCCGTCTAATGTGGCTGAGAAGCTCCAAGATACATTGTAAGTGCATGGTCCTATTTGTTACATATAACAAGGAGTTAGTTACCTGCAAGTATGTTGTTTTTCACAAAGGTCTCCTTCATTAGGTCATACGTTACTAGCTCTGAGCAATTGATGATGACATTTCTTAGGAGATTGGGAGAGGTTCCTGGAAAAAAGAAAATGTTATAACTCCTTTATAAGATAAGGTGCTAACTGGGAATGTGCATTTTAATGATGATAAAATCTGTTTTGAAGGTAATTACCTTTCCAAAGAGTTGTGAAGCTTTCTGTTGTTGCGATAATTCTGTAAGCATTATAAGTCCCAGTGTAGCGTGGTTTCAGACCATGTAGATGGCTCTGTGCTTGCAGTCTGACCTTCACTACCTCCGTAGGTTGCCCAATGAACACTGCCACTCCTCCAGTGGTTAGGCCAGCCAAGATCTTGCTTCCTAAACTAGCTGGTGCTATTCAGAGAGGGAAAGTATTTATTAAGCTTGAAATTATTTTTAAAAAATCACTATCCATGTGACTTTTAAATTTTTAGTAGTTAGTATTCCAGTACTCCTACATTTCTTCTTCAGCAATTCAAACCAACTGGATGGCACTTAGCAACATTTGCTGCTTCCCTAAGTCCTTTCCACATGTTGATAGTGCACTAAACCTTAGTAAAGTGTTGTTGCTGTTAAGTGCTGTCGAGTCAGTTCCAACTCAGAGGCCCTGTATAGGGTTTCCGAAGAGTGACGGGGGAGTATGAACTGTCAACTTTGTGGTCCAAGGCTTGTCCTACAGCACCACACCAACACAACTTCAAAATTGTCAGAACTGTAAAATCAAAGCCCATTCTCTGAAACTACATGCTCCTGCCTGGAGAGGATCTATTTATCATCTGACACAGTGCCTGGGACATGACAGTTTATAAATACTTGCTAAGTGAATTGAGTAGACATAAAAAGTACTGCCACAATATATCACATTAATCCCATGTCTAAAGTACCCAGAAATTGGTTAAAGTGGTCAAACTGTGAAGAAAACCACTGAATGAGCAGATTTACATCCTTTGTCAAGCTAATATTCTCAGGGGGTGGGGGGCAGACTTCAAGTATGACTGTTTACTTACCAGCTTGTTATGAAAACCACTAGCCTCTGTGCTACATTTTTAAACAGGTATGCGGCTCCTAAGAATACTAGTTACTTACTTTCTTTGCCATCTGTGAAGTACTCCTGGACGGTGTCATAGAGGCCAATCCTAAGAGAGGCAGAGCTGATTTGTCTCTGCAGTCCAGCAGGTAGCCCACTATAGAGTTTTGCTAACCCTTCTGTTTTCGCCAGAGTGCTGATTGTTCCCAAGACACCTTTATATCTAATGGCACTGGAAGTCTGGCATTCACCTTGGATCTGGAAATGGAAACGAGAAAGGTATAGGTTAAAGGGAAGTGAACATGAGGTGGACACGAGCCACAGAGACCTCAATAGCAATGGATAGTGGTACCTTGTCGGGGAACAGACTGGCATCAGGATGCTCTTAGTGGAGAGACTTAAATCAATGATTTCCCACTCCCCCACCATGTTTATATTTTAAGTTCATTTTCACTCTGGGCAACATCTCCCTCCCCCACACACTCAGAACATTGAACATACCTCTGCCCCTCCACAAATAGCCCACTCAGCCCACTAAGTGGTGTTGTTGTTGTTAAGTGCCCTTGAGTCACTTCCCACCGATAGCGAACCCGTATAGGGTTTCCGTTCCAGCTGGTGAGCTTGAACGGCCAACTTTGCGGTTCAAACTGACCTTGCAGTCCAGTGCATTAACTCACAGCGCCACACCAAGACTCCACTAAGTGGTTTGGGAAAGTGTTAAAAAAAGAATTGAGGAAGAGGGAAGAGGGTCTGGCTTGTAAACTCAATATTCTAACCTCTTGGTACACTTAATGCACTCCAACTTTTTAGGGGTATAGCATTCAACCCATTCCACATGACTATTTTGGCTCTTCTGCAAAAAGGCCAAATTCCTTTTAAGGCAGTCACCTACCTTACCTAACAGAAATGGCCAGTATACCAAAGCTGAGCATCAAAGGGGCCCACACAAACAGAGTTTTCATTCAGCCTCCTACCTGTAGTCGAACTTTCGCCGTGTCCAACGGAAAGGTGATCACATCCGCCAAGCAGGCGGACACTCCAGCTGAGAAGATATTGACCCCCATGGTGGGGTGGACGTCCGAAGTTGACAGACCCACCATCTTCACTTAGAAAGCAGAGCGAGGTTCCAGTGCAAAGAGAGAAGGGCTTCAGCCCTAAAAGTAGAAGTTTCCTCCTCTCCTGTGGTCCTGGAGATCCGGACAGCAAACTCCTGGGAGGATCCACAAGGTGGCGGCTGCAGCCTTGCCGGGAGCGCCCTAGTGGGGTCTACACTGGCCGTACCTTCCTCTTCCCCACTGATGTGCCAGGAGGACCCACTGAGCCACGGCTGCCGAACACCGTGCGCCTCTGTCACGGACGGGTGACTTATATAGCCTGGTCGCTGGAGGGCTGGTCCGCGCGAGTTCTTAAAGAGCTGTGCGAAGGACCTGGCAGGGGCGTGCCCTGAGGTGCAGGTTACAACCCACCCTCCATCCTTGCTCAGCTCTTCGGGAGTCACTCTTCAGTCCACATGCTCTCGACCCTCACCTAGCCAACAGCGCTCTGCGCGCGCCACGGCGGGCATCCCAGCAAGGCGGAGACGCATTGGTACCTCTACAGTTTTCTACGACCCTTCAGCTGTGTACCCGCCAAATTAAGTGCGATCTCAGAGAACCTGATAAAATACCCTGCCGAGCCAGAACTTCCTGGGAAGAGGCGAGAGTGGGGCGCCTCCTTTTGTTCCTCTTACTCCCCTGGAACTTTGCTGGCATCGCGCTTCCTTCCTTGCTCCCCTTTCCTCTCATTTTAACTTCTCAACCTCAGATTCATTTCCAACCACCAAATACAGGTTCGGTAATACCTCAGACAGAAACTCTGAACTTTTAAAAGAAATAGATTGTTTTCGTTTGACACCTTTTATTTATTTTTTGTAGAAGGAAGTCAAATATTCAATAACTAAACCATTATATATAGTGAGGTATCAGTTGCTCCTTTTAATTACATTTCTTAGGGAGTGCCGTGGAAAGGACACTGTCAGGTCTCACTTGGCTCCAGGTGTAAATCTGCCTCTTAACAGGAAAAATCTTTACTCAGGCTTTTGTTTTTGCCTGTGTAAAATGTGGCTCCGGAGTTACTTTACTTCTGAAAGTTTGCTACTTAACTGCAGTGATTAACACATTGTGGAGTGAGGAGGTGAGTTTAGCCTGGGGAACAGCAGTTTTTCATTCTTCTGTCCTGGTGTGGAGCTAAAGGACAGTGCGTTGGATTACCCACCAGCTGCTCCTATATTGGGTCGCCATGGGTCTGGACCCACTCGACGACACCTAACAACAATATCTTTGTGCAATGATTTGCTTTAAGGGTGCATTTATTCTCTGGAAAACATTTTTAAATGGTCTATTAAAACAATGGGTTGTCACAGGGAACAGGTTAAAGACAGAAGGGAAAATATCAGGCCCCATATTTCAAGAAACTAAACAAAAACTAAAGATCTTTTGGGTGCTACCAGAATTCATATTTAGGATCTAGAACTTACTGGAATCCAAGACTGAATTTAGCACCACCACCACCAGGGGGAAAAAAAAAAATGTCAATGGAAGTTACAGAGTCTTCTCTGGAACAGACACAGGAGAAATAAGACATGAAGCTCTTAGAGAATCATTTCCAAATCCTCAATAAGCAAGGGTTGTGAGTATTGTAAAAGAAGCCAGCCCTGGAAGATTTCCAACGGAGGTCAAAATTTGAAGGACTTCCCTGAGGAGGCAAATGTTGAAGGTAAGGTAGGGTAGGCTTGAAAACACAAAGACAAAAAGGAATAGACGATGAGTTTTCTCCTCAGTGAATACCTATTGAAATATAAGAGCAAATGAAGCAATTAAGTGATATGTTTTAAAAAAGTGATATATGTAAAGAAGTTGGGAAAAGCAAGGTGAATATATAGAAATACGTTTTGTTGATTTGACTAACTGGAAAATTGCATGAGGAACAATGATTGGTAAGAGATCAGGTCACAGAAGCCAAATAAAACTCACTGAGAGCAGAACTTGAATACCTAACTTGAGTATGGATTCATGTCATCACCTCATGTCTGTATGTTGTTGTTGGTAAGTGCCGTCGAGTCGGTTCCAACCCATAGCGACCCTGTACAGGGTTTCCAAGAGTGTAAATCTTTACGGGAGTAGAAAGCCTCATCTTTCTCCCGCGGAGGGTTCGCAGCCCGATTCGTAACCACTACGCTACCAAAGCTCCTTATGTCTGTATAGTATTTCACATAGTGTAAAGTTCTCTCACAATAATATCACATTTGATCTGATAGACAGCACAGTTTCATGAATGATTAGTGTAGTGTAGTGTACTCACAATAATATCACATTTGATCTGATAGACAGCACAGTTTCATGAATGATTAGTGTAGTGTAGTGTACTCACAATAATATCACATTTGATCTGACAGCACAGTTTTATGAATGATTAGATTTGGAGTCAAAGATTTTTCAAAAATAACCTTAAAATTAAGGACTTGGGTAGCAAACTCAGCAATGATGCCAAAAGATTGTTATGAGACAGTTGAAAAGGTGAGGTAATTTTAGAGGCAAGAAAATGCGATCACATTTTAAAGTTTTGGAGTTTATTTTGGGGGCCCTTGTGGGTGATGGTGGTGTTATCTAAGTAGAAAGCTGTTACGGGAAACTGCGTGCTGTTGTTAGGTGCTATAGAGTCTGTTCCAATTCATTGTGATCCCGTGCACAACAGAACAAAACCCTACCTGGTTCTGCACCATCCTCACAATTGTTGTTATGTTTGAGCCCATTGTTACAGCCAGTGTGTCAGTCCATCTTGTTGTCGGTCTTCCTCTTTTTCACCGACCCTCAACTTTGCCGAGCATGATGTCCTTTTCCAAGGACTAGTTCCTCCTATAATATGTCTAAAATATGTGAGTCGATGTCTTGTCATCTAGGCTTTCAAAGAGCATTCTGACAGCACTTCTAAGACAGATTTGTTTGTTCTTTTGGCAGTCCAAAGTGCTTTCAATATTCTTTGCAAACACCCTAATTCAAATGCAAAAATTCTTCTATGTCTTGCTTATCATTCTGTAGCTTTCACATGCATATGAGACAGTTGAAAAAAAACCATGGCTTGGGTCCGGTGCCCCAACTGACATCTTTAGAGAGGTCTTGTGTAGCAGATTTCCGTAATGCACTATGCTATTTGATTTTTTGACTGTGGCTTGCATGAGCTTTGGCTGTGGATCCAAGTAAAAGGAAACTGAATAGAACTAGCCAAAGAAGCAAGAAATCAGAGCTGGGAGGTACTTGGGAATTGGATATATGGAAGTGATGAGAGTGGGTATACTTCATATGGTAGTGAGTATGATGAGACTAGAACAATAGCATTGAGTGTCAAAGGAATGAGAGTCAAACAATGAAATTACCCAGAATTGGGGGCTGGGAAGAATAGGCTTACAAAGGTAGATATAGGAGAAGAATTAGCTGTATATCTGGTCATGTTGTTATTGTTAAATGCTGTTGAGTCACTTCCAATTTATAGCGACCCTGTATAGTTCTGAGGAGCAGCTGGTGGGTTCAAACTTTTGACCTTGAGGTTCACAGTCAAGTGCTGATCCTACAGTGCTACACCAGGAGTCCATATCCAGCATGTTGTTGTTGTTCAGTGCCATCAAGTTGGTTCCAACCCATAGTAACCCTGTATAGGGTTTTAGAGGAGTGGCTGGTGAGCTTGAACTGCCAACCTTTCAGATCAAACCGACTTTGCAGTCTAGCATGTTAACCCACAGCCACACCAGGACTCCATATCCAGCATAGAACTATGGTATTTGAAGATGAGCAAGTGAAAGTCAGTGTCAAATTCAGAAGAGATATCAAGAGGATCCAAATAAAGAAAACTTGTTGGATTTGGCTGTAATGTTATTGGTGATATTAGGGAGCACAACTACGGTGGCATTATTAGGGTATGAAACTGGTAGCTAAGGAGAAACTAGTGAAAAACATTAGATTTAGTACAACTAAAATGTATGTTGTTGTTGTTAAGTGCCGTCGAGTCAGTTCCAACCCATAGTGACCCTGTATAGGGTTTCCGAGGACCAGCTGGTGAGCTTGAACTGCCGACCTTGCAGTTCAAATGGCTTTGCAGTCTGGCACATTAATCTATAGCGCCATACCAGACATGGGAGGGTATTATTCTTTGCTGACTCTAGTGAAGCATTGCTACCCGTGCTTAATCCTTGACCCTCACCCCAAACATACCACTGGATCTAGCCTCATGTAGTTGTTTTAAAGCATAACCTCAAATTCTTTGACACTCTTCCAATCATAAGGTGGGTTTCCATGGCCTTTCCTTTTGTATCTGGGCAGGCTTGTGAATGTTTTTGACCAATAGAAGATGAAAAAAATTGGTATATGCAGTTTTTAAGGTTGTAGCGTAAACATTCACTGCTTTTGGAATCCTGGGCCATCATGAAGAAGTCCAAGTTCTCTGAGAATGTCATTCTGGAAAGGCCTTATGTAGGCATTTTCAGCCCTTCCCACCCACACCCCAGACATGTCACCTTGTATCTTCCAGCTAAAGCCCATCTGCCAGTCGAATACCACTAAGTTGTCTCCATAGTGTCAGTAGAACAAAAGAATCTGAGCCCTGACCAAATACTTGCTCCATAAAATTATGAGGTAGAGTGAAAGCCAGACCTCGATAGGGCTGCCTTTTGTTTCCAGGTCTCACAAGTTTCCCCCTTTTGACAGCTTTACCATTTTCTATCACCACTTTGTAGGAAATATTTTAGGATTTCCTTCCCCGACAGGTTTCTGCCTTACAATGGTTCCAGATTTTGTAGGTTTCGATGTAAAATGAAGTCCTGGTGTGGCAGGGTTTTTTTGTTTTGTTTTGCTTGCAGATTTTGCAGGTTTCAGTGTATAGGAAGTCCTGGTGTGGCACTGTGGGCTAATGTGCTAGACTGCAAAGTCAGTTTGAACTGCAAGGTCACCAGTTCAAGCTCACCAGCTGCTCCTTGGAAACTTTATACAAGGTCACTATGGGTCGGAAGTGACACGATGCCACTTAACAACATCAATGCATAATGAAATGATTCTTGTTTTAAGCCAGTAAT